ATCATAGCTAAAAATAAACAAAAAATTTTTTTATTGGCAAATTTTAAATGGAGTTTATTATACTAAAACAATAAATTTGCAACCATAAACATGATAAAACCCCATTTAAACACATCATAAAAGTATTAAATAATTCAACTACATCATAAGGCTATAAAAATAGAAAATGACTTCATAGTCAAGGCTAAAGGTAAACAAAAAACCTTCATCAGCAAAATTTTATATTGGCAAATTTCCAATGAAGTTTATTACACTAAAATTGTTGGCAAATTTCCAATGCATTTATTAACAATAAAGTTATTGGCAAATTTCCAATTTACATAATTTAAAAGCAGTGTAGATGAGATATTTAAATGAGTTTGAATTACCAACCTTACACTGCTTTTAAATAATGTTCTTTACTCAATTATTTGTCTATTAAAATGGAAACCCTTGTTTTTTAACCTTTTTTCCCCTTATTCCTTAAACATTAGAGCCATAACCACCCCCCCCCCCCCCCCCCCCAAAGCCAATTATTACTTTCCAATGTAACCTAAATTTCCAATATACATAATTTTAAATTTCAGTTCCTCATGATATATAACCGTATCATTATTATTTTCTTTCATATATAAATCTGAAACAACCATCTTTAAATGGAAAATTTTAAAGAAAAAAAAAGGAAAAAAAAAAATCCTACCCCCCACACATTTTTCAACCCCCTTTTGATTCATCATCCCCCACCTCAATCACAACCTTCAATTTGTGGTATGGTACATTGCAATACAATTTCACAGAGATCCATACACTTGAACACAAGTTTTTGTTGCAAACTAAAAAAATCCTTATTTTCGACCAATATTTGGCCCCTTATTCATAAATGTTTGAGCAATTAACCCCAAAACTCAATTCCTACTTTCTCTTTGTGATAAAAAATAACTAACTTAAAATGTAAATTTTAAACCAAAAAAAAAAGGAAAAAAAAAAATTACCCCTTTTTTGACCCCCGCCCCCCTTATGATTCATCACCCCCACCCGCCTTTCCCCCCAAACCAAGCTCAATAACAGCCTTGCCTTTGTGGTATGGTACCTTGTAATACAATTTTAGAGAGATCCATACACTTGAACACAAGTTATTGTCTAGAAACTAAAAAATGCTTATTTTAAACCCCTTTTTAGGCCCCTTATTACTAAACGTTTTGGGCAATTACCACAACACTCAATTCCAGCGCTCCCTTTGTGAAATGGAACCTTGTAGTAAAATTTCAGAAAGATCCATACACTTACACACAAGTTCTTGTCATGAAACTAGAAAAATGCTTGTTTTTTGCCCCCTTTTGGCCCCTTATTCCTAAAATTTTGAGGCAATTAACCCCAAAATCAATCCCAGCATTGACCCTTTGTGATATGGAATCTTGTAGTACAATGTCAAAGAGATCCATATGCTAACACACAAGTTATGTCTGGAAGTTACAAAAATGCTTATTTTCGGCCCCTTTTTGGCCCCTAATTCCTTAACTGTTGGTACCATAACCCCTAAAATCAATCCCCACCTTCCTATTGTGGTATTGAACCTTATGGTAAAATTTCATAGAGAACCATTCACTTAAACTAAAGTTAGAGTGCGAAAACCATTGTGTATTCGGACGACGACGCCGTACGACGACGACGACGACGACGCCAACGTCATACCAATATACGACCTCAAAATTTTTTTGCGGTCGTATAAAAATTAGCAAAAATAAACCCCTCACTAAATATCCCGCTTTACTGTATCATTTTGCACTTTTGTCTTGTAATATTCCCATTTGACATGAGTAAAATGTGGAAAACTTATATCTGAATCTTCCATTGAGGACATGTGTAGACAGCATGAGATGAATAAACTATCTGATTGCTTACTTCAATGGTGGAAATAGATAACTCATCTAGTCTACAGTAACAGTACAAAAAAGATCATAGGGATATTTAGACATTTCTGTTGAGTGGTACATGTACAAGACTTTCAAAGTGTAGGAAGTGGTCCATACATGATGTCACCCTGGGAAGGTAACACAATAAAAAGTTCTCAACAGAAAACTGAAATAGGATCTGGCTGCACCAACCTGATTCTTTAACATGTTAAACCTGACAAATATGCACATCTTTATTATACATGTATATGTGTAAAACTATTGGTTAATTAAGATGATCAAAACGAGTTAGAAGTACACCAATTAACAATTCATAAACACTTGACGTTAGTCTAATCTCCATGTATTAAATATATTTCAGACTTTTTGAAGGTATAGACTTATACCTTTTGATTTCCATCTTGATATCTTCCCCCTTGTTGAGCCAAAGGTTAGCTTACATGTTCTTGTTCCAATAATAGGTCTACTCCAAATCTTGAAAGTTTGATGGACATTCACAGAAACCCTTAGTTCCTATTGAGTGAACATACCATTTCTTTCATCAATAGAATTTCATTTGTAAACTTAAAATACCTGACAAAAACAAGTAAAGCTTTTGTACTAAATATCTTAGGAAAGTCTTAAGTAAACTTTGAGTGGGCCTGTGAAAATGAAAAAAAAATGTCTTAGTTTCCTTGTAGTTTGTTCACCTTATGTTATAGAAGTTGACCTTTTGATTCAACCTCAGTAAAGAAAGACCTTAAAATTTATGTTTGATACTCCTCAGCTAAACACACTGCAGTAAGTAGGAAAAAGAAATGTTTGCTCAGGGTCACAATAATAATGTCTGGTAGGGTTGAGCACCACCCTTCCATAGAATAATCAACTTTGTCTGACAGTCTACTACAAGGAAAAGTATATTCATATTATGTTTTTTTTAAATTTTATTTATAGTATGTCACATTGACATTTATTCAAAATATCCTTTTAAAACTAAAATAATCAAGTTACTATTATTAGTGCGGATGTATTCAAGTTAGGACTTTCATTTTTGTTTACGTGTATGCCAGATGTAAAACACTATTATTTATTATATAATTCTTAAGCAAGCAGCCAACCTAAATAACTATAACTATAGAGCATGGGTGATTTGTCAGAAACTGTATTAACATATACATGTATCTGGTTAATATTCAATGAGACCACCTATAAAGTTAAGTCATTACCAGAAACTTTCTTTGCTATACATTTTCAGAAGTTGGAAAATTTCTCAGTGTTTTTGGTGTTTACTCCAAAAAGAACAAAATTATTGTATTGAGCCAATAAATGATCAGATTTATGTGACTGCAAAATTAAAAACGCAGCTGAAATATTGTTTTTGTTGAAATGCTACTTTAACACTCAGTATCACTGAATAGACAACTTTCGAGTTCGATGCATTTCCGTCAAAAACTCTGGTTTTAGTGAACATCATTCGTGCGTTTAGGGGCATCGTCACTTCCGTTCCAATGTTGAGCAAGTGGTTGGAAAACTATAATGCTATATTGCATGAATTATTCGGCAAATTAAATTCTCATAATTGACAATCAGCACTACTGTCATTAGGGAATTGTGATTAAGTACTTACAAAACAAACATTATTTCTAGTTTATCCTGCACAATGACGATCACTAAGACGCTTGATGAACATTAATAGTGCAGGGATACAGGCGATCCCCTCTATCTGGTAAATGACGTCATAAAGGCGCGCATAATTGACGAGTTTTTTCCAGTGAAGGATGAACTCGAAAGTGGTCTATTCCACTTGAACAAATTGCCATGTGTCTACAGTTATCTCCCCCTACTTTATTAACTTAAGATCTGTAAAAAAAGTTATAAAGTTTTCCCATGTAGTTAAAAGAAAATGCACTAACCTACATAAATTCTATAACATCTATGAAATTCTCCAGAACATTACCGACAATGTCTGAATTCTTCAGTACAAAAAATGTATAATTTTCTCAAAGACCTAATCAAATGTATTCCTTAATACCATTATGTATAGAGGTATATTAAGCATTTTTGTTGTACAAAAATTTCATTTAATATTTTGTGATCATTAAATTTTGTTACCTTTGTGAAGCAAACATATATAATAAATGAGAAAAGTGATCCCGTTAATTATTTGATATCTTAATTTCAGCCCAGGCATTTGACAAGGCATCATCACAGTATCAAAATTCAAAATTCTGTCAATTTTTCATGAAAATAAAATTTCTAAAAACTTACTCTACGCTGCTGCTTATATCAACCAACTTTACCTTGCTTTCAGTTTCATTAATTAGAACTTTTTACCTTCTCTTTTGTATGTGTATATATTTTTGAAATATGATTTATCAATAAAAAACAAACTTGATCAAAGGGCAGATAATTCATCTGATTTACTTTCAGATATTTTACACTTGAAGCAAATATTGAATATTCTGTATTTGGTGTGTCTTTTTGAAATATGACATTACAATATTTCATACATCTGAAATATGATATAATAGCTACTGCTCAAAATGATATTTTATTTCCAAAAGAAATGATTCTTGCTAATTTTTTTATTAAATGGAAACCTGTTTAAGAAAGTATTGCATTCTTGGATTTTTTTCAGTTGTCTTAATGGTAGGTTATATTTTTTGTCATATTTAAACAGAATCATGTCATATTCATGAGTATCCCTTTTGGTTTTTTTTATTAAAGATTGCAATAAACTAGATCATGTACTCATTTCTCAGTGGCTAGAATCGTGAGATGCATGTGTTTTAGTTTCCAAGTATTTCATCAGATTGCAATTACGTAGATCATATGCACTCATTTTCCCAGAAGCTAGAAATGTGTGATGTATTTTTATGGGGTTTGCCTCACAACATCTTTGATCAGTATTTTGAATAAACTAGATCAGGTACTACTCGTCAGATGCTAGAAATTTGTAAGATATCTGGTTAGGTCTTGTTGGTGTTTTTCGTCACACAACAATTGACTAGATCACATACTCATGTCTGGGGCTAGAAATGTGTGATTTATTTGTATGGGTTTTTCACATAGGACAAATATAATGATAGTAAAAAGGTGCAATGTATGTGCAAAAATAAAGAAACTTACTATTCTAGCTATAAATAATGTCTTGTAAGGATCTCTTGTACCATTTGTATTATTGTTTGGATCCCCTGAAAAGAGAAAACAAAAATGCATTTCATTAAGTCTCTAATTAACAATTGATTACTCAAGTTAACATGTATAAAAGTGTGATATTTCAGTCTAAAAATACTAAGATACCTAGAAATACTGTTATACTATGTCAAAATATACTAGTCTAACCTGTTTTGATTTTTTTGGAATACCTTATCTGATAAAACGAAAATCAAATTGTTTTAAACATGGCTGGATCATAAATTGTAATGGTTTGCTGAGCTTTGAGTTAAAAAAATGGAAAAGGTGCATTAAATGACTTTAACTTGAATTTAAACCTTATTGAGAAATAGTGATTCAACAGTTTTGGTTGCATCAACTATGATGTGTCGACAGTAGAAACCACCTGAACCCCTCCCCTCTAATTGTTCTCTCTCAAAAACCATAGAAACACTTGTAAAAATCTTTATGCATCAGATTTGATGCTTTAACAGATGAAACCATCAGAATCCCAAACCCTACCACCCGACCCACCCCCCTTAATTGTTTTCTAAAAAATTGCAATTTCAACATAGTAGTTTACATACATCTAAGTATTGTATGGTTTACATCAATTCCCATTTACATATCATGCATTATTCATTTAGAGAAAACAATTAGCTAAGCTTAACAAATGTTGGAACACATAAAAAATACTGAATAATTAACGTTTACATGAAACACTCTCACTTTCCACAGTACTTTATAATGATTATTTTCTGTATTTATATATCCAATTAAAAATTAAATGTGTGCATCAAACCATTTACTCGAGTACATAAAGTTTACAAAATGAAGATGGCCAGTAGCATACATTAATGAATTAAAACATGGCTTTTATTTCTTGCAAAGATTCAGGAATGTTTTATATATTTATAAAAGAAAAGTTTCTTTTTACCAGAAATGATGACAAGCAAGGGTATTTTCGAATAGGTTATCATTGTTAAACAATAGTTATCCTTCTTGACATGGTAAGCTTTAAGACCAAGAAAACTGTTTCAAATATATATTGTGATCTACTGATTATCTTTTCATTCTAATCACACTTCCCATCCATTTTATCTGAGAGTAAAACCCCTACCTAACACAAGTTTCATCTTCCAGCATCTTTTCTTTATCTATTACTTATCCATTTTATCTGGGACTAAAAGCTCTACCTAACACAAGTTTCATGTTCCAGCATCTTTTCTTTATCTATTACTTATCCATTTTATTTGGGAACAAAAGCTCTATCTTACACAAGTTTCAAAGATAAATCAAACATACAGATGAACTTATTATAGGTTCACACAAACCTTTCTTAATATGTTTTTATTGAATAAGTGGTTTATTTCTGAAACAAAACTGGTCTTATGAACTACAGTGTTTTCCTTTTCTATCAGGAATAAATTGCTGAAATTGGATGGGATAATGTACATTACTGATCTGTTGTTATTTTCTGGCATTAGGAACATATGTACCATACTTTGGGTATTAATCATCTCAGCCTGCAAAATGGACCCCCCCCCCCCCCACCTTTTCCTGTATCACTGCAAATGAAACCCACTTAAAACTTACAATTTTTTGGAATATTTACAGTGTAAGATTACTATATGAATTCTTCGCAATGAACATCCCTTTCATATATACTCAAAATGTGAACAATTAAGCCAGTGAAGGCTGCTTTATTAATTTCAGTTAAAATCTTTGAATGAAACTTCCATCAAGCTTAGAAAAAAAATTTAAAGTAAGGAATCATTAAAGATTTGATGTAGAAAATTAAGGCATGCAGTTTTGTTAAATCAGCACATTTGCATAACTACAAAAACATCACTATCTTGGTGATTAGGCAAAAATTCTCCAATTATATCAATGGATCATCCAGACATAACATAAATCTTTTCATTAACCATGTGTGACCAACTTTTGTTGATCTAATGTAATCCCCCTCCCACTAAATCAACACATAAAACAATGTCAAGACTTCTAAACCTTGATGAACATAATTGGTGAGAGATATCCAGAAAAAAAGGCAGCAATGAAAAATACAATAATCGGTTGTGGCATACAATGACTTAACAAAGGAAATATTCGGAATTTTTACTTATTTCTCTGTAGGGTGGCTGTGAAAAAGGTGTCTCCTCAAATTTATTCTCCCGCTTTCAATCAGTTTTTTTTGGGGGGTGGGGTGGGGCTGGAGACGTAAGCACTATAATAATATTGTATAGAATTTAGGTAACTTTTAAAGTAAGATAAGGATCTTCTCACAGGTCTACAATTGATTTCACTTTAATGATTTATGGAGTTGAATTCACCTAAAACTGTTGAACAAATGATGATAATTGCAAGGATGACCTTTTTTTTGAGAGGGTTAAACTGCATTCTATGACCCTAGCTATCAACACATATATCACTCCTGCTTAAGCAACATCAATCAATTTCTTTTTTGATGCAAAATGATGTAACCGACCTCTACAGTGGGATTATCTGACCTCACCATCCCCAACCCATTATAGTTTACATAATGGTTTCCACGGTGATTATAACATCATTGGAGAATTGAGTTATTCAATCAGTAATTACTCCAGGTACTGATGGATTGTGTTTTGTGTCTATTTGTACAATATATTTTGGCAGTAGGACAATATTCCAATGGATTACCACATTTTCGACTACCAGCGCTTAACCTACTGACGGCTCTGGCAAACCTATAAATCAAATATTTCCAATAAAAAGATGTCTTCGTTATTTCTAAACTAACTTTGAAGAGCATGCTCTCTCTCTCACCTATACTCCCCCACAAAACTTGAGTTCAAGGTCAAGATTTAAACACTTTTCATTTTAACATTTGGAACAATCTTTTCATTTTACTTAAATTTACTATGTAAGGTTCTTAGGCTAATTTTCCCATAAACTTTGGGCTGTGTACTTTTTAAAATGAAAGACAACATATTTATTATCATACCAAATTTTACATTCAATTAATATTCCATGGACAGTCAGATAACCCTTCTTTTCAAATAATATATATAGTAGTTTTATTTCATATTTTCTTTTCCATCCCAATTCTCCCATCCAAAATATAAAAATAATATTAATATAAAATAATAAGTAGCTTATAAAAATACCTCACTTCTTGAATAGTTTCTAATGCTAAAAATAAATAAATCTTTAGATAAAAAGAATACAATTCTCTCCACTAGTGTTTATTTCTGTTTTTGAAGAGATAATTCAGAAATCGGATCTAAATTCCGATCAATTGTTTGTCCCACTTTCTATATTTGGAAAAAAAATAAACAATATTTGAAAAACTTTGGAGAAACATTTTGTGAAGGCATGATTATCATAAACCATTGGTTTTGAGGAATCTTTTAGATCTAAACAAAAAGCAGAATAATAAACAATTTGTATATTTTTTTTTTCATATAAATAAAGCAAGCTGTTACCATATCAAGGCAAAGTATTTTTAGAACTCTTATCTAGAAGTGAGTTTTTAAATGGCTGGATTTCATAAGTTTTTACATTGCAGTCATGTTTAATGTATAAGCCAAATACTTTTTCATAAACTCATAGTTTTTTTGTTGTTTTTTTTAAGAGGGGGAGGGGTCTCAATCAATTCCCCTCTTATCTGTCATCTTTTTCCTATTTACAATTTAAATATATTTTAAAAGTTAAATAAAATGCTTCGCTGGGCGCAGCTTGATACGACCGCAGAGGTCGAACCCTGAACAGTTGGGGCAAGTATGGACACAACATTCAAGCTTGATACAGCTCTGAATTTGGATTGTGATTAAATATTTGACACAGCATAGGTTTCTGACACAGAAAGAATGTGGTCTAAGAACTTCAATTTTTTTAATTTACCTATTATGGTCCAATGTCCAAAATCAAAATACATGGTTAGATTCAGCATATCAAAGAACCCTATATATTCAATTTTTGTTGAAATCAAACAAAGTTTAATTTTGGACCCCAACTTGGACAAACTTGAAAACTGGTCCCATAATCAAAAATCTAAACACATGTTTAGATTCAGCATATCAAAGTACCCCAAGAATTCAATTTTTGTTAAAATCAAACTAAGTTTAATTTTGGACCCTTTGGACCTTAATGTAGACCAATTTAAAAAACGGGACCCAAAATTAAAAATCTAAAAACACGGTTAGATTTGGCATATCAAAGAACCCCAATAATTCAATTTTTGATGAAATCAAACAAAGTTTAATTTTGGACCCCAATTTGGACCAACTTGAAAACTGGGCCAAAAATCTAAAATCTAAATACATGTTTAGATTCAGCATATCAAAGAACCCCATATATTCAATTTTTGTTGAAATCAAACAAAGTTTAATTTTGGACCCCAACTTGGACCAACTTGAAAACTGGTCCCATAATCAAAAATCTTAACACATGTTTAGATTCAGCATATCAAAGAACCCCAAAAATTCAATTTTTGTTAAAATCAAACTAAGTTTAATTTTGGACCCTTTGGACCTTAATGTAGATCAATTTAAAAAATGGGACCCAAAATTTAAAATCTAAATACACGGTTAGATTTGGCATATCAAAGAACCCCAATAATTAAATTTTTGATGAAATCAAACAAAGTTTAATTTTGGACCCTTTTGACCTCAATATGAACCAATTTGATAGCGGGTCCACAAATAAAAAATCTAAATACATGGTAAGATTCAGCATATCAAAGAACCCCATATATTCAATTTTTGTTGAAATCAAACAAAGTTTAATTTTGGACCCCAATTTGGACCAACTTGAAAACTGGGCCAAAAATCTAAAATCTAAATACATGTTTAGATTCAGCATATCAAAGAACCCCATATATTCAATTTTTGTTGAAATCAAACAAAGTTTAATTTTGGACCCCAACTTGGACAAACTTGAAAACTGGGCCCATAATCAAAAATCTAAACACATGTTTAGATTCAGCATATCAAAGAACCCCAAGAATTCAATTTTTGTTAAAATCAAACTAAGTTTAATTTTGGACCCTTTGGACCTT